AAGGTGGGTAAGCCAAGTTTTTGGCATAATATCTGAAAATATTTTAGGGTGTAATTGCTGCCAATGGTTGATTAAATGTTATATTTTTTGTTTTATATTTTTATAATTTTGCGACCAATCTCAAAATTGTTTTTCATACTGACATCATGGCAGTTGGTAGAATTATGAGGACAGAAATGAGGCCAAATAAGGCTGAAATATAAATAAAGGTGGAAAAAATGCAACACTGTGAATTCAAGCATCATTTAGGATAAATTACTTATAACCCCCTGCTAAAAATAAAATAAACAATGCACCTCCTCTGCCCAGTTTATGTATTTTTAACTTATTATTGAAATAAAAAAAGTTTGAATTAATTTAAAACTATTAAATCTATCAACATGTGGCGCCTGAATCTGTCATTCTTCCCTATGAAAGACCGGTATGATGTTAGCAAAGCTCTTCTTGTTTCTCTGCAGGTTGGAGGGGGTCAGCTCGGGTTCAGCCACTTTGACATCCAAGCTTCTGATGTTTGTGTCGCCTTTGTTTTCTGCTATGATGTGGGAATGAAACAGCGACCCCACTGTTTGACAGCTGGTTTCTATGGATCACGGGACACATCACATCACTGCCTACTGCTGCTGTATATATGCAAGAATGTATGCATGTATAGATGGATGTATTATCTAGATAGAAATGAACTATCCATCAATTTGACTCTGCTGTTGATCTAATGGTTTTAATATGTAAAAATCATTAAACTGGTTCAGTGTTAACTAAATATGAGCCTAATCCTCCTATCCTGTCATGTAATCATCTGAGAAAATATCTCCAAGCTGAAATGATATCCTCTGGGTTTAATGGAATGAAAATCCTATTATCTTTTCACAGGCCCCCGTCTCTCCATCCTCCCAACATCCTTTTCTGTGCTTCATACGCAAACTGAACACTGTGGTGAAATCTAATCGCCATATGTTACAAATGAGTCATCCTCATGACTGGAGAGGCATTGGGCATCAGATAAAATGGTGAAATAATAAATGCACTAGAGATTACAAGCATTTCACTTAGCAAACTGGAATATGTGGTGAGTTACAGTCAAGGTTTCCAAAGGAATACAGTGATGTGACAATGATTATGATGAATTACAGGCTCATCATTACTGACATTGTATGTAGAGAGTTCATTATTGTGAAATAAATATATTGGTGAAAGAAAAGAGTAGAATTTAATTTGGTGTCATCATCTAGTGGTCAAAGTCAGAAATGTCAACAACTACTATGTATTGCAGATAAATTCAAACAATTATTACCTGTTACTAAAAGCTAAAGAGCTGATATTATTTCACCCAGCTGTGAATAATAAAGTTATATATCTAAAGTTATGTTTAGTGCTTAGAAAAATGTCATAACCTACAACTTTTAATATTTTATCAAGGATTAATTGCCAGATGTGATTCATTTGTTTAAAATTTTTATGGTAGACCAATGCAATATATGTGGAAAAACTAAAAGGAGAGGGTTGCATTTCTTTAGAAACTGCAAATAAAAATATAAAACGTCAGCCATGCCCTTTATACCCATCCTATGGGGCCTTAGAGATGCAAATGTGCTGCAAATAAATAAATGCACTGCAGACCAAAAAAATGAGGCCAAAGCCTCTTTCCCAAGTTTTTTTTTTTTTTCAAATATGGCTTGATTGGCTAACAATCGGCATTTGGCTCCTTTCCCACTTGGGAAAAAAGCTGGATCTAACGCCCGCTGGCAAGCTGCGTGGCCTCAGTCACACCCATCCCCCCCATCCTGAAAATGCTCCTGACCACTTGGGAGGTCGACCACCTACTCGCATTGGACCAGAACCTCAGTCAAGACATAAATGTAATGCCTATTGCCCAGAGGACATTATGAGGGAAGGAAGAAAATATGTGTTCTGCTAAGTCTGTTTTAAGGTTAGAATCTCTCTGACCATCTTGTTACTCATGAGTCGCACAGTGACACATGGGTTGGCAGCAAAATAAAAAAAGTATAAATAGACATAGTTTTTTCCCCAATCTGGCTGAGTTTGAACAATTATTGAAAGAACCGCAGGACAAATTTTCAGTTCCTAAATGTTTAAAGATCATAGAAACATACTGAGAAGACTGTAACAGCAGTAAAAATGGATCCCACAAATTAACTCTGAGGGCCAATTACAAATGTCACAGTTTTTTAGGCGTGTATAAGTAAGAAAAAAGAAATATTCTTAAAAAAAAAATCATTCTAATTTCACTTCACGGTTCTAAGATCATTTCGGTATTTCGGCCACATGAAAAACATGGTAAACAGTTGATACATTAACATTCATCAAACTCTCTGTTATCATGTAAAATTATAAATACAGTTAAACTAAGTGAGAACTTCATTGTTATGATTATATCTAATAAATCCATTCAAACTGACCTAATGTATCCAGTCTCTTTTTAAGGGAACGGTTAATATATTAAGCTCACAGAAATGAATCCAATCAGCTCCAGATTTTACCCTTTTAGGTATAGTAGATTACACCATCTAAACTATAATCCACAGCAGAAGGATTTTCCTCCCTCATGTTGCCCATAGGGATTTATTTCTGACAAGTTGTACTTCCAGCCTTTGTCCGCTAGAGGGCGGTGTTGATTTTTGTTTTGGAGGATCTCTTTTAAATTTAGTTTGTACTATTAGGATTATCTTTTAAAACGTTAGTGTTGATCTTAGGCTGAAAATTGATAGATAACAGATAGTAAATATCAGAAAACTAATTATCTCAAAATAAACACTGTTTTTCACTTTCCTTCACATTTTAATCACACAAGCCAATATGAGCACAAGTTGTGATAGGCTACAAAGCTGGGCTGAGAACCCAAAACCATCATGACTTATACTGAGTGAATGCCAGCGGTATAATTTGTAGTGCTGACAACAGCAAAACGCCTCTGCCAAAACAAATAATCTGCTAAGCCATGATACTATCAGTGAGTAGCTCTCATGAATCTTTCAATGTCTTTTTTAATGGCTGTTTCTTGAACCATTATGTTTCATATCATTTGCAGAATAATGATAAGAAGAATAAACATCTACAGTAATAAATTAGGGGCTGTTCAATGGCTGTATTTTGATCTTATCTGTACATTTCTACAAAAGGCTGCATTGCTTTCATTTTAATGTCCCATTTTCAGCTATATGCAGGGGCAACTTCATGAAACACACAGTGCATGTTTGTAAATGTTTAATAAATAACAATATAAACATAATTATTCAATATAAAAAAAACCAAAAACAAACAAACTTTATATAGCAGACCTGGGTTAAATTGTATCAACAGAATTATTTTGTTTGCTTTCTCAGCAAGACGGGTTTTCTGTAAGGCAACAGCAAAGAAGAAATGATTACAAGTATTTATACACTGTGTTTGTCTGCCAAAACTTTTACAGGCATGTTACTGTGTTACTGACTCGGCTGCTATTAACAGCAAATATTTTAGCCTCTGCTTTGTAGAAGCTCCAATCCCTTGAACATGTAAACTAAATCACTGTGTTTTCAGAAGCTGTGGTTTACAGTGCAGCTGTGGTCTGGTCTATAAGCCAGCGTCTTTTGTCCAAATCTGGAAGTTAGTACTGTATAATTCTTTTTTCCCCTCATATAAATTGTTGTTGATCGTAAAAAATAATCTATCAAATTGTAAATTGCAGCAGACATGTGGAGTCTGCAGGTATGGGGCTAATTTTATGCGGTTTTGTGATTTTATTAGGATCTAAATAATAATAAAAGCTCTTTCAGTGAAAATGCTAGTGGATAAAAATGATCAAACATTCTGGGTATTTATTGGACTGCTCCATTTCTTTGTTGAGCAGTGCAAGAAAGAATTGGAAGCAGGACAATGTGAAATAACCAAAAGTTCACGTTAGCCTTGTTGTTTTATCAAAAGTGACATTTTGAATGATATTAAGGCCTGATAGTGCTACCCAAACCTTTGAGTGATTTTACAAATACATTTTTCAAACTACATTTAATGTACTTTGATTTAGTAATATATTGAGGTAATGGATAAAAAACCTCTCTTTCCAAATATCCAACATCTAAAACAGCAAACCGTCCATTATGAAAGGAGAGATTTTTCTTATTCAAATCTTTGTGGTCAATTTCTTTGAATAGTAAAAGTCCTACTGCTGTGCTTACATAACTCAAAGTCACTAAAGTTAAAAGTCAAATTGCACATTCTTTGGCAGGATTTTCTGGTAGAGAGCTTAATTCCTGGTTCCTTTTCTACAAGTTGATAAGTTGATGAGAAACAAAGAAGCCCTCGACCACCAATATTGCCTCCACCGTGTTTAACTATCATGATGTTCTATTTTGGAAACTGTAAGGGGAACAAAGTTTCTGAGAAGTTCCAATTTTGACACTACAGTCCATTAAAAGAAATCTTTGACCATTCTCTTTCCTATTGTTGAATCAAGAATACTGGCCTAGGGGAACTGAGGCTTTCAGAGCTTTAGCTATTTTCTGGGTTCTTCTTTGAACACCATGATGATTCAGCAAAGGGTTTCTTGGAATAATTTAGGTAGGCGGGGATTTCATTCAGTTCACCTGATTCACAAAGGCTTGGAGATCCTTTTCTAACCCTTTCCAAGCCGATGGATGTTGATGATGTTTCTCATCTCTTTCTTAATTTTGGGACATGGCTTTTTTAGTTAAATCTTCTTTTAAAGTAATTTCTTTCTTTTCCTAGGTTGTCAGAAGACACGCATAGGTGAGGTGAGAATAACTGCATTTAAAAGAGTCATAAATCACATTTATTCATGAGTTAATAAGGAAAAGATAATATATCTAAATGTATTATTTTTTTTACAATATTATATGTTCATATCCACAATAAGTTCATAACTTATTGTGGATAACGTTTTAAATTAGAAATTCAAAAACAATGTTTTGTTTGGTCATCTTTACACAAAGTATGTTTTAACAATACTAGTGTAAAAAACCAAATCCTACAGAAATCTATTCAATTTTTTCATCGGCATTGTATTTTGCTGAATATGTTAGAATAAAAATTCTGTTGTTACTTTCAATTGATGGAATCGGTTTGTACCATAAATATTTTGCAAATAAATTCTTCTAAATGTAGTAGATTTTAAAGAGCACAGGCTATATTGTTTACTAAAAGGAAATTTCGCACTTCAAGTTTTTTCCTTTAGAAACTACATCGTCTAATGCTATAATGATGCAATGAACACTTGCATCTCAAGAAACTGGCCTTTTTTGTGAACCACAGCTGAATGAAACACTTTTACAATTCTGATAATACTTTAGTAATGACAAACTTGTAGGTACTCTTTGACCCAGGTCTGGTGTGAATACATGTAGTCCCAATACTTTGACACATAATATAATAATTTACTTTGTGCAGGCCTTTGGTGATAATTTATTTGCAGGAACATACCTGTTTACATTTTATTGTGTTTGTCTATATTGTGTTCTGAGTGCCAGCCTGTCGGCTCGGTCTTCACTGCCTCCATGACTTGCGGCTGAGCACACACACGCAAGCCACGTTGATGCGTATGAGCCTCCAAGCCACCAGGTTCTTGAATGAAGTCAGTGCTCGAACAAAAGTGTGTGAGTTGGTGCAGTAGGAGTTCCAGTGCCTCCCGTCAATTCCTAAACAGCCTGAGCCTCCAGAGCCAGGGCTGTGACACGTCGTCTCAAAGAAATACTGCTTCTTGTTAACATTATTTATGTTCACATTTGGGAGCACTGTCACCTCATTGCCTGAGATGTCTGTGGCTTTGGTCTTGTTGCCCACCCAGACACTAACACTCTCACACACAGAGTACACCCCCCGGTGTTGAGGCTGTCCCGCTCGCCTTCGAGTCCTCCTGCTGATACCATGCTCCCCCGTTGGTTCCACATTGGGGGGCTGTGAGCTGAACCGCACCCTGGGTGAGAGGTAATGACGCTTGCTGAAGAGTTTAGGGTCCACAGTTGGGATGGAGGTTGAGTTTTTCTGTTGATCTGTTGTGGAGCTGCACGAGACCCCTGTGATGGTGGCCAGAGCCTGGGCACTGAAGACGAAAAACAGGACCAGCATGGATGACCTCATGGGCACACGATCTGAAATAACCAATGAGAGAAGAGAAAAAACTGTTAAAACAAAGATAACAAGATTCTGCATGAAAGAAAAAACTTGCCGTTGTCGTATTAGACTACCAACTCAGAGACTAGTATTAATCTTTCATTCAGATTTGCATCACCCTATGCATATCTGGACAATTTCTTGCAGTCGCTCAGAAACAAGTTCAGAAACAAAGCAGGATTATCTTTATATAAAATTAGCACAGTTCTAATAAACCCAACCCATGGTGATAAGGAGCACCTCAGGATGCAGCCTTAAAGAAATAGTACACCCAAAACATGATTAGCCTTCATTTTCTACTCACCCCCATGCTGAACAACACTCTGGAGTACTTTTTTGATATCTCAAATGCATCTGGAGATCTGGGAGGCTTCTTGCTGTCTGCAGACATTCAAATAATGGAGGTCTATGGTGCCCGAGGCAGAAAGGTCCATAAAAGTCCACAAAAACGTGTCAATATTCCTCCATACTGCTCGTCCAATGTATTCCAAGTGTCCTGAGTGGGTAGCATCCAGAATTTACTCGAAACGAAGTCATTTAGAATGTTTTTAGAGCATAAACAGTGGTGTATAGGAGTGGTGTAACTGAAAATGTTTTGTCATTGTCTCCTTCCTATCTCCTCTTTCTTTCATCTTTTGTCCTTTTTTTTTTTTCTTTTTCCTTCTTCTTCTTCTGTTTTTCTGCTCTACTTACATTGCAGTGTCCATATGAACTGTAAAACTCCCTGCATAATTATAATAAAGCAATTTATATACATGAAACAAGTGGAGCAGTATGGCAATTGCGATACCGCTACACTTGTGGAAGTAAAATCTGTTGGGCTCCTTTTGGCATCAAGACAATTATTCTTATTGCCACCTTGCCAGACAGGACACTGTGAAAAAAAAAAAAAAAAAAAAAAAAAAAAAGAATGTTTTTAGAGCATAAACAGTAGTGTATAGGATTTCCTGAAAGCGCGCACGTGCGCGCTCACGACGCTACGGAAACCGCGGCAGACCAAACCAGACGAAAGTGCGCATTCAGCTCGGCAAAGAACTCATGCTCTTCCTCAACACTGAAGTCCTCAGACATTTTTCTTTCGTTGTTTCTTTCTTTGCACAGGTAAACAGCACATTTCTTCTTCTACGCTTGCATTATTGGCAGAGCAGACGCTGAATGCGCACTTTCATCTGGTTTGGTCTGCCGGCTTCCGTAGCGTCATGAACGCGCCGGCGCGCGCTTTCAGGAAATCCTATACACTACTGTTTATGCTCTAAAAACATTCTAAATGACTTCGTTTCGAGTAAATTCTGGATGCTACCCACTCAGGACACTTGGAATACATTGGACGAGCAGTATGGAGGAATATTGACACGTTTTTTGTGGACTTTTATGGACCTTTCTGTCTCTGTCACCATAGACCTCCATTATTTGAATGTCAGCAGACAGCAAAAAGCCTCCCAGATCTCCAGATGCATTTGAGATATCAAAAAAGTACTCCAGAGTGTTGTTCAGCATGGGGGTGAGTAGAAAATGAAGGCTAATCATGTTTTGGGTGTACTATTCCTTTAAAGGAACCTGTCAATAAAAGAGATTACTAGTGGTGGCATGGTTTCCACTAATCTGCTTTCTTTTTAGCAGATTAGCCTTCTATATACTTATGCTGCTATAGGCTTAGCCTGCTTAGGACAGGGACCCCTTTTCATCATTATGCCTATTCAATCTCAATTCTTCCATTCTGCAATATTTATTTAGTACAACCTCTAATTTATACCCTTTTTCGTTTTTCTCCTCATCGTAGCTTCATCTGGTCTCTTCTTGTTTGGTTGTGACACCATCCTGGAGAGAAATATCAACTGTGCTGCTGCCATCAACAACTTTGTATATAGATGTTGGAGTTTTATCTGTTTGTCAGTGTAGTCCTGTTTCTCTTATGTGACTAATTGTATGTCCGACATTCGAGCTCGTCTTCCTGGCTTTGTGTTTACTTGACAGGGTTGACAGTTACCTTTTGTATTTTTGCATCTTTCTGTCTGCTTCTATCTCCTTGAACCCAAGTCGGCATCGGCAGATGGCCACTCACTCTTAACCTAATTCTGCTGGAGATTTCTTCCTGTTAAAAGTGAGTTTTTGTCTCCACTGTCGCTACAAGCATGCTTGGTGTGAGGGATTTCTTTGGATTCGATAAGTCGATGCAGTCAGCTAGTTTTCTTTAGATAGAAAACTTTGAACCAATCTGACTGTATGATCTGCTTGAATTGCCACTGTAAAATGCCTTGAGATGACACATGCTGTGTATATATGTATCAATTCAATTCAGTTTATTTATAATTCACAACACATGTTATCTCAAGGCACTTTACAGAGGCCATTCATTGTAACTCATTTGGATTTAGAATGATAAACCATGAATTCGTTGTAATTTTAGATTTAAGAAATAGAAACCACAAGTTGTAACAAGTAACTTAAAGTTTGTATAACCTGCTGGTAAATAAATGGGTCTCTTGTTCTCTTAGCTATGGTGGTTTGATATTATCTGTTAAAATAATAATATCACTTGATCATGCCTGTTGTAACATTCCACACTACAAAGTCAGCAACTGAAAATACAAGATTTGAGCTAATATCATATCAGATTAGTATTAGCAAATGGATGTTAACAGACAAAATCTATGCTACCTGAGTGAGTGTGACCTATTTTTCCAGAGGATGAGGAAATAATTTAATTCCTAGATATATAAAGCTAGTAGAGACTTACCCCAAAGGACTAACATCTGAAATCTGACCAAGAAGTCTGTGTAAGGATTACTCAGGGGGCTTAACTTTTGACAGAAGGCCACGGATGACTTTCTTTTTGTCCCAATATGTGCTACTTATGTATCCAATAATTATCCATTGAGAATAGACTTTAAAATTCATCTGTTACTCTATAAATCATTGGCAAGTCTAGCACTTAAATTCAGTTCAGACATGTTGTCAGAACTAAACATGGAGAAGCAGCATTTAGTTCTTCTGCTCCACTACTCAAGAACAAACTTATAGGAGTCTTGCAACGTCCCAAACTGGAATCATCCCTGCAGGAGGAGCCAGTGTTGCAGTGTGCCATTTAAAAGTGTACAGTCAGAGAGGACGCTTTCTGACAAAGCTGTGAGTTACCACATCAAATGGAGCCCCTCAGATTCAGTTTGTTTTTGGAACAGACTCATTCAAATCTCCCCCAAGAGCTTTGAAAATGGACTGGTTCTGGACTTATGTATCCAACAAAATTTCAGAAGACTGTAAAAGGGCTGAAACCCAAATTTGTTTACATAATAGTTACACCACCTATTCGATGTTGTCTTTCATTGATTTACTTAAACTTTTCTCTAAAATATCATCAGATTAATTTTATAAACTTTTCTTTACCTGCTACCATTATTCCACTGTAACGTCCTTCCCTCTCTGTGTTTCCTTTTCTTATGTTCTGTTCACATACGGACTTTTATATGGTCTCGTTATTGAAATGTGCAAAACAAAATCCTCTCTTTCCTTGTCTCACTATGTCTTTTGTTATTAAAGAATATTGAAATATTTATCACAGGTTTAGGTTGTTTTCAAAACAGTTAAAGGTATAAACACTTTTGCAATAAATATTAAGAAGCAAATAGATAAAATGTATTTAATATGTTAAAAAGGAAATAAATTGAGAACTTATGAGAATATATTGAGAGTTTTACAAGAGCCAATTTAAGATGTTTTCACATCTAGGTAGAACATTTTTTATGGAATTTTGATCTGATCATTCACCATTTTCCATAGTACCTGTGAATTGTGCAAAGAAAGACATGGAAGCAGAATAATTATTCAAATTAATGTCCAAAGCCTTGACAGGGCTCTATTTATGTAGCCTTCTATTGAAGTGGGTTTTGCTTTGAAATGTGGGGCTAAGTATGCATCATAAGCAAAACAATATTGTCTCTTGGTAAAAGTTTGAATAAGCTGAATAGAGCCTTGAAAACTGCAGAATTAGTTCCACAGTAGCATGGGGAAAAAATTATTGGAGTTACCCTTATACAGCCTCTAAATTATCCCAAAGTATCTGTAAGATGAGCAGGACAAACTGTACTAATCCAGACCCCCTTCACACAATTTAAAGAAGCATTAAATATTTTTTTGCAGTGTTTTAACTGCACAGATTAGGATTGGTTTTCACAGCAAAAGGAGAACATCTCCTATAATGGGCAGGTTTCTGTAATTATTTCACATAGCAAGCTGTGATTTGTGAAACATTGCCTGGGGGACCAATAGGTGGAGTATGGGATCAAGCATTAAACCATTCAGCAATCATTAGCAATAAAAAAAACAAAAACATTTGTCACATGATGGTGTTATCAGTTATTGCGTAAAAAATGACGGCCAATTCCTAACCGGCCTTTGAACCCCGATGGTTTTAGAAACCAAAATAAACATGAATGGAAATTTTGTTCAGTTACATTTTTTCCCCAGATAAAAAGTAGAAGCAATAAACACTATGACTTGACTTCAGAGGTTTACATGTAATTTTCATATAAATAACTAGAAATGAGTAACACACTCTTTAATGAAGGAAAAGTAGCTGCAACTATTACATTTCGGTACATTGTTTAATTTCTACTTTATCTGTTAATCATAATTTTTTGTCACCACGTAACAGAATCTCTGTACTTTCAGTATTGAATAAACTGGCAAGCAGTGTACTGTATTTAAAGCTGGCTTGTTTAAACCTGCGGTGGCTCTGCTGCAACCAGAATCTGTCAGCTAACCTGCCTATTAAATGCTGTGTTTGCCTCAGGTGTCAGGATGAGGGCTGCTGTATAGAAGCTGTTGGCACAACAAACGAACAGGAAAATTCACTGCCTCTAGACTAGGACATAATGGGAGCTATGTGACACTGAGCCAAGATACACCCAGCTTGTAAGCTTTGTTCAACTCTAACATATAGAGTCTCAGCCCTCTGATCTCTTCTTAGTCCCTCTGTTTGGTTCCTGGCATGAGAGAAATAATTGCATTTCATGGCTTTTATTTGAGTATAATTGCCATAACTATTGCTAACAAATTAGATCTGGATAAAATTAGGTTTTGTCTGAACTTCTATGATTTAATTTAAACAAAAAAGGGAAAGGATCATGATGAAACTCAAATGATTCTACAGCTCAAACTCAAGACTACAAGTTGAACAAACTAAAAAACATATTCTATGTCATTAATTTCAATTGATATAAAAAATATAAATATTAGCTCTAAAGTTCATACTGTTATGATTTGTTTATCATCTTCAAAAACGACCATTTGAAAAAAGTATTTTTAGAAGAATCTGTAGTAAAGGTTCAATGTGTATTTCACTTGTATTCCAGAGCAGCCCTTTGAGCAATAAATACAAACATAACTTCATGTTCTGCATGTACACCTAGATAAATATTGAATACTAGTAAAATCTCTATAATCTCTAAATTAAGGTCTATAGATATCAATGATAATTTGCATTACAATCTGTTGTATCCTTAATGAAAATCGGATTTAATCCGGGAGGAATGGGACAAGGGATGGGTCACCCACACCCTGGATGACACACACCCTGGATGCATATGTTACCTCCTCATTAAAGGGCAAAGACAAAGAGCTTTTTACACTTTCATGCATATGGCTATGATTTATAATCACTTATCATCTTGCAAATCCCACCCAGAGGAAGATGGAGCATTTAGAGAAAATCCCTGTAGGCACAAAGAAAACATGCCTGGTCCAAACTCCACATGCTCTTAAATTTAAGGAGTACATGAAGTTCAGCTTTATGAGCAAAGGGGCAGGCCTTATTGTTACAACATGTTTTACAATCAATATATTTTTAGAAAAAGATGTGCTTTTAATAAACATTGCAGTAAACAACTGCCAATGTGACACAATTTGTTTAAACTATTTTTATTGTATATGTTTCCTAAACATCATAAGAGGCTGCTATTTATGATATTTTACACGTAAGGGTTAAAATAGATATTTTTTAAATTTATGTAACAATAGAAAACTAGATCATATTGTGCTATACAGCAAAAATGCTAAATAATCTTATGTAGTTGTGGCTTTAGTCAAAAACAAAATCCGATTGTAAAGTAAAAGAAAAGGGACAATTTTATTTATGCCAGAAATATAAACACATATTAGCATATTTCCATACCTTACCTTTCAGTGTCTGTGTGAACTGTTTCACCTCAGAGGCTCCTACAGAACGTAATTATAGCTCTTTGAGATCTTGGCGCCTCCTGCCATAAGGCCTGGCCGTGGCCCCATGCAGCACACTTCTGCCCTGCTATGCCTCGGCTCTTCAGCCCTGTTCAGAGACAAGCCGAGAAAGTGTTTTACAGTCGCCTCATAAACCCTACTGTAAACACATTCTTTGGAAGACCGATGCGGGAAAAGAAAGTTCAAATGTTTTGTCGTTTTCATCAGATCATCAAATCTGAAAATACCAACATAATGAGGTAGATCTGCACGATAAAGATTATGTAGAATAAGATTATAATGTGCATTTTTTGTGCATATTTTTTTAAGCATTCTGACATTTTTGTCTGGATTTTAAAATTCAAATGCAGTCAAAGACAGATATTTGGAATAATAATTCAGCTTTGAAGCTTAGAAAGTAGAAACCAGAGAATTTAGTAATCTTTTATCTATATCATGATCATATCTAATGAAAACTGATACTTAATGGGTCTGAATTAATTCTGAAACAGAATTTTTCCAAATTTAGGTTCAAGATTTGCAATTTAGTGGCTACCAATATAATACACATAGAAAGTAAATACAATACAGTACAGATATAAGTACAACACGATACATAGAAGTCTTGGAAGTGGATAATGTAGAAGAAAGGACAAAATCATATGGAGGGGGCTAGCACTATGCACTGAAGGATAATATATTTCTTGTTGCAATTTTATTTTTTTATATATTGGATAACTAGAACGGGAAGCTCAGTTAATCAATAGGTCATTCAGATCAAGCGTAAAACCAATAAATGATTATTTGTAAAATAATTATAAATTACATTTGCTTTACACCAAGACTTTTTAGTCTTTTACCCAAGTTTGGACTTCTTGACTGACTGTTACAATCCTATTGTCTTTCACCAGTTTAATAATTTAGACTATGTTTGTCAGCAGAGTTATTAATCACCAACCAAACGAAATTATCTCTGTTACTTTAAGTGTTGACCAAAAGGGGGCTTTCATCGCATAAATAACCACAGGTTAAAAATATTTGTACCTTCATTGGCTTATAATAGTCATTACAGTATTAATGTGTTTAACAACTAAGCAAACACTACAAATTTCTGAAAATAAGCATAAGGTAAATGAGAAGCTAATAAAAGGGGAAAGGGGGCTCTAATGCTTTGTTCATGTTGCACGCAATTTAAGCAGCAGAAGCAGCTGGTTTACATGCAAAGTCAATGGTTGATGTGCATCAAGGCACATCAAAAGGTACTGTAGGGCATTTTGAGCAGCAGCATATCTACGCATCTGAGCAGCTGAAGCAGCGCCTCATGAGCTTCTGAAAATCTGATGAAAGTGACGCACAAGCAGCAGCTGATGGAGTAGGAAAAATTTAACTTTTGAGGCTCGATGCACCAAATCAACCAATCAGAGAAGCTGATGTAGGAGCTGGCAGGGAGACAGACACAGCAGTGCTGATGCAGATATCTATGATCACTCCACTGAAACATTTTATTAATGTCTAAAAACACTGCATTCAAGTGAGCCACCTCTTTGAAAACGGCATTTAAGAATGCTAACATCTACTTCCAGCGACAAACAGTAGCGGAAACTCCCCAGCCTCCGACAGCAGAATAATATTTTAAGGCAGCATCGTAACTTTGATGAACTGACTGCACAGAGGATGTTTTGATGTGGACTTTTTCACTTAGAAAATACACTATATTGCCAAAAGTATTTGCTCACCCATCCAAATTATTGGAATCAGGTGTTCCAATCACTTCCATGGCCACAGGTGTATAAATTCAAGCACCTAGGCATGCAGACTGTTTTTACAAACATTTGTGAAAGAATGGGTCGCTCTCAGGAGCTCAGTGAATTCCAGCGTGGAACTGTGATAGGATGCCACCTGTGCAACAAATCCAGTCGTGAAATTTCCTCGCTCCTAAATATTCCACAGTCAACTGTCAGCTGTATTATAAGAAAATGGAAGTGTTTGGGAACGACAGCAACTCAGCCACGAAGTGGTAGGCCACGTAAACTGACGGAGCGGGGTCAGCGGATGCTGACGCGCATAGTGCGAAGAGGTCGCCAACTTTCTGCAGAGTCAATCACTACAGACCTCCAAACTTCATGTGGCCTTCAGATTAGCTCAAGAACAGTGCGCAGAGAGCTTCATGGAATGGGTTTCCATGGTCGAGCAGCTGCATCCAAGCCATACATCACCAAGTGCAATGCAAAGCGTCGGATGCGGTGGTGTAAAGCACGCCGCCACTGGACTCTAGAGCAGTGGAGACGCGTTCTCTGGAGTGACGAATCGCGCTTCTCCATCTGGCAATCTGATGGACGGGTCTGGGTTTGGCGGTTGCCAGGAGAACGGTACTTGTCTGACTGCATTGTGCCAAGTGTAAAGTTTGGTGGAGGGGGGATTATGGTGTGGGGTTGTTTTTCAGGAGCTGGGCTTGGCCCCTTAGTTCCAGTGAAAGGAACTCTGAATGCTTCAGCATCCCAAGACATTTTGGACAATTCCATGCTCCCAACTTTGTGGGAACAGTTTGGAGCTGGCCCCTTCCTCTTCCAACATGACTGTGCACCAGTGCACAAAGCAAGGTCCATAAAGACATGGATGACAGAGTCTGGTGTGGATGAACTTGACTGGCCTGCACAGAGTCCTGACCTCAACCCGATAGAACACCTTTGGGATGAATTAGAGCGGAGACTGAGAGCCAGGCCTTCTCGTCCAACATCAGTGTGCAACCTCACAAATGCGCTTCTGGAAGAATGGTCAAAAATTCCCATAAACACACTCCTAAACCTTGTGGACAGCCTTCCCAGAAGAGTTGAAGCTGTTCTAGCTGCAAAGGGTGGACCGACGTCATATTGAACCCTATGGATTAGGAACGGGATGTCACTTAAGCTCATATGTGAGTCAAGGCAGGTGAGCAAATACTTTTGGCAATATAGTGTATATTGAAACTACCTTTTACCCACTTATCACAACACATATATCAAAGCTGCTCTCTGCATTGAACACAGGAGCTGCACAAGCATCAGAGGCATCTGGACGCACTTTACTGGACACACTTCAGGAGCATCGAATATGCTCTTGAGGCAAATTTGACCAGCACAATTTTCAAAAATGAAGCAGCAGGTGCATGTGGTGTGAACGTAGTAAGTTAGAGTCCATTCAGAGTAAGGAATCCTCAAGTTTTTAGGATTGGTGCATGACACCAAGGACATTTAAGACGCCCTTTGAAATAGATAAGCAGATAAATGGGAATGACAGCTGATACAGAGATCTTGCAATCGAAAGAGTGAAGCTTCATCTGATTTTAGAGTGAAAAATGAACCACGACTAACTAGCCTATCCAACCGTAGCACCCTAACTCGTCAGACACGCAAAAAAAAAAAACAGAGACAAAAACACACAGTGCTGATCTTTCAGTCGGGTCAGTGAGCATTAGAATTCAGTTCAGAATCTTAAAAACGTAAAAACCATCAGCTGTTGAATTAAAAAGCCTTTTTTCAGATAAAACACAAAACACAAGATGTGCAAAAATACTATTCTAATATTACCCTAGCCCAGGGTAACCAGTAGGCATCAGAAAAAAAGGGGAAATGGGGTTACTGTGTGTTGGCTCGGAGGAGAGGATTCATAGTTATTCCAAAAAAGTTAAAACACAATCCACTGGACTTCGCTTCCCCTCCAGGGAGCTTTTTCAATTCAAAATGTCAGAATTGGCATTGAGTTTGAAGCTTTATACAGGTGCTGGTCATAAAATTAGAATATCATGAAAAAGTAGATTGATTTCAGTAATTCCATTTAAAAAGTGAAACTTGTATATTATATTCATACATTACATACAAACTCATATATTTCAGATGTTTATTTTGTTTAATTTTGATGATTACAAATGACAACAAATGAAAATCTCAAATTCATCATATCAGAAAATTAGAATATTGTGAAAAGGTTCAAAATTGATGGCCCCTGGTGCCACACTCTAATCAGCTAATTAACTCAAACCACCTGCAAAAGCCTTTAAATGGTCTTTCAGTCTAGTTCTATAGGCTACACAATCATGGGGAAGACTGCTGACTTGACAGTTGTCCAAAAGACGACCATCGACACCTTGCACAAGGAGGGCAAGACACAAAAGGTCATCGCTAAAGAGGCTGGCTGTTCACAGAGCTCAGTGTCCAAGCACATTAATAGAGAGGCGAAGGGAAGGAAAAGATGTGGTCGAAAAAAGTGTACAAGCAAGAGAGATAACCGCACCCTGGAGAGGATTGTGAAACAAAACCCATTCAAAAATGTGGGGGAGATTCACAAAGAGTGGACTGCAGCTGGAGTGAGTGCTTCAAGAACCACCACACACAGACGTATGAAAGACATGGGTTTCTGCTGTCGCATTCCTTGTGTCAAGCCACTCTTGAACCACAGACAGCGTCAGAAGCGTCTTGCCTGGGCTAAAGAGAAACAGGACTGGACTGCTGGTGAGTGGTCCAAAGTCATGTTCTCTGATGAAAGTAAATTTTGCATTTCCTTTGGAAATCAAGGTCCCAGAGTCTGGAGGAAAAGAAGAGAGGCACTTCATCCACGTTGCTTGAAGTCCAGTGTAAAGTTTCCACAGTCAGTGACGGTTTGGGGTGCCATGTCATCTGCTGGTGTTGGTCCATTGTGTTTTCTGAGGTCCAGGGTCAACGCAGCCACATACCAGGAAGTTTTAGAGCACTTCATGCTTCCTGCAGCTGACCAACTTTTTGGAGATGCAGATTTCATTTTCCAACAGGACTTGGCACCTGCACACAGTGCCAAAGCTACCAGTACCTGGTTGAAGGACCATGGTATCCCTGTTCTTAATTGGCCAGCAAACTCTCCTGACCTTAACCCCATAGAAAATCTATGGGGTATTGTGAAGAAGAAGATGCAATACACCAGACCCAACAATTCAGAAGAGCTAAAAGCCACTATTAGAGCAACCTGGGCTATCATAACACCTGAGCAGTGCCACAGACTGATCGACTCCATGCCACGCCGCATTGCTGCAGTAATACAGGCCAAAGGAGGCCCAACTAAATACTGAGTGCTGTACATGCTCATACTTTTCATGTTCAT